ACTACTACTACTACTACTACTACTACTACTTACTACGTACTACTACTACTACTTACTACTACCTATACGTACTAGTACTACTACTACTACTACTACTACTATTATTATTATTATTATTATTATTACTACTACTACTACTACTATTATTATTATTATTATTATTATTACTATTACTACTACTACTACTACTACTACTACTACTACTACTACTACTACTACTACTACTACTACTACTACTACTACTACTACTACTACTACTACTACTACAAGCCTCCCCCTCCTTCGCATGAGATATTAACATTTAATCTTTGCTCAGTAACAAAGCGTATGAAAAATCAAGAGGCGTATACAAGCTGTGTTACAGCGTGGTGGCTTTATGCTGCAGTAATGATCATTATTGAAAATTTGTGTGTGTGCTTGTGTGTGTGCTTGTGTGTGTGCATTGAATTGCGGGGTTCTACGCTAATTGCTATTCCCCAGTTGTAAAAATCATTCATATTCTACAACAACGATATTTGAAGAGCACAATAATGGCATATTAAACGATTTTGCGAGAACAAATCAATTATTTCCTGTCTGAATGATCAGCTCTTGATGTTGACGTAGCAACAAGCTGTAGAACAACTTCGTTATCGTGTGCGAAGGGTAGATTTCTCGTTCATCTTTGGGGAAAGCGTTTGGCAGTGACCGTTGCAATAAAAGGCAATTGCCGTCGTCATTGGAACACCTCGCGCGTGCAAAGTAGGCATAGTCCTCAGACCAAAGTGTCAACACAGTCGCAAAATGACAGTAGTATTATGCCAATCGATTTACATTATACTGTAGCCGTACCCTGTCACATGTATGCAATCTAATCTGTGAAATTATTATATGCCGCGAGTAATCGAGTTATTAAAGAAATAATTATAAAAAGGTTATTATTCGATTAAACAAATTTGATCTTTGATTATATAATGTAATAGCGTCGTCGCCTCGCGGGTGTTGTGTTATCAGTTATAATACTATGTGGTGTTGTCCCCCGTGACAGTCGTTAACCACACATTTGCGACCGACTGTCGCAATTTCACTCTCAAAATGTCGAAATCGCACGAATTAATCGTTGTGTACACATATTCACTGCCTGCTTCGCACGGAATAAAAGCTAGCGAACTATTTGCGGTTTGTTTTGCCGTCCCGTTTTTCGTTTCCGCGAAATTCCACCGCGCGTGGGATGCGCCCGCCCAAGAGAACACAATAAAATACATCGTCATTCCTGAACAGATGCTATATAAGCCGCAAAGTGACGTAACGTGACTGCTACACCGCCCTGTTACACCGCCCTTATCATTAGAATGTAATGGTGTTTTGACGATTCAAAATGGCGGCCGAGCGTGTTCATTGTAAAACAGCCCTTCTTGTCACGCACGCCAGCCAGCAAAGCTCATTACCCGCGCGTGCAAGCTCGACATACAATGTTATCCTAGGTCTAACAGCCGGTTTATATGTAGATATAAAGCGCGCGTATATAGTAGCGATAAATTGAGTTTATAACAACCGTGTGACCGCTTAATGGCACTTTCAAGACATCCGTGTCCCCGTGTGTGCTATAGTCTACACCGCCAACTCACTTTATGAATGCAATGACCTTACCAGACATTTCATCGAGCATTATATCGCGTTCGGAAAAACTAGGAGCCTCCTTTTATATTTTATTATTAATAAAATGTTTGCTTAACGTCTGATATTTTCTCATATTTTATCGCCACAAATACATCCCTAATTGACTCACAAATACTAGGACCTACGCATCTCTTAATGACATCCCATTATTACATTATCCCAAAAATCGCAATCATATGCAAATGAGTAAAGCTGTTTGTATAAAAACGCTTTATTTTTCCCGTGTTAATTTTCTGTTCACAATGGCATGCTCTTCCGGTAGGCGAATGCGTACCCTATAGTTACTCTTATATACAAATGCCCGCTTTATCAATTCACACAATCGAGGCGATCTTTACGTTAAATGCGCAGCATAGGAATGCATTATTATCTAAACGTTTGACATATAATTTCAAATTGTTATTATTTGTCATCACTATTTGTAATCAATGAAATCAAAATATCCGTCTCGATAATCGTATCGCCGGATAAAGACCCGGGTTCCATCGACAAATTGATTTCTTCTAATCAACGTTTCAAGAAAGTAAAGATACTTTTATCATCAGGCCTATAAATAACCACAAAATTGATTTTGCGGCGGCAAGTGTCATCTGTCAGTACCGTCGTTATTGCGTTGCGGTTGCCACCGACGGTCTCTGCCGTCCGTGCTTAGTCTCTACTTGGTCCATAGATGACCGTAACATTTTTAACTCTCCTGCGAATTGTGGCGGTTCAGATGATTCCATTTCAGGTAAGTGTTGTAGTCGTTGGGCGCGCGTGCGGCGTCGGAGGACGTCGGCGGCAGGGCAAGGTCATCGAGTGCGTTCTTCAGTGAGGTCAACGTGAGGTATGACGGCTGCTCTTGTAGATGCCTATGACAAAAGAGAGAAAACGTGTAAACTCCTGCGGCTGCTGCTGCTGCTGCTGCTGCTGCTGTGTGTGTGTGTGTGTGTGTGTGTGTGTGTGTGTGTGTGTGTGTGTGTGTGTGTGTGTGTGTGTGTGTGTGTGTGTGTGTGTGTGTGTGTGTGT